TTTGGTCATGCCTGAATGGAGGTTTTGGCTCCATGAGGCTTTTCCCTTCCCTTGCCCATGTGAGCTGTAGTAAAACATGGCTCCTGCTGCCTCTCTGCCTGATCCACTGGGTACCTCTCCTTCCACGCGTGTCCCAAGCTGCTTCCCATGTGGGAGCCTGACCGTGCCGGTTGCAGGGTGTGTGTTGTTTGTAGTAACAGAGGCTGAAGCCTCTTCTCATCCACAGGTCAGGTACAGTGTGGACAAGTGCACTGTAGACTCCCCTACACTGCTCCACCAGTGCACCTCAAAGCAGACATGGAAGGACCACTATCTAATAGGGGTGAGAAGGTAATTGTAGTCCCTGTTTCAGGCTTTGGGGCCAAACCTCCACTGTAGCAAAGATTTTTGTGTACCATCATTGCCACTGCTGTCTCTTGTCAGCATCACTGCTTCTCCATGATCTCTGGCAGCTGCTGCCCACTCATGTGTCTTTCCTTAATTTTGGTGGCCCTAGATTGATGTACCAACTGTCGGTCAAAACGGCATCACTTTGTTCTTCACTAAATACCCCTCGTTGTTGTGATGTGCTGGGGTTCTGTGCCTGCATTCACGGAAGGCTTTGGCATCTTCCTACCTAAACTCTCTCTCTGATTTTCCATGAGTTAATGGAAAAGATTCATTTCTTGGGGATTCCAGTATTGCTTAAAAAAAAGAACAACTGGCTCTTACAATACCTGAAGTAGGAATGTTATTTCACAAGGCCTGGCCAGGAAACAATATTCATAGACTCATGGACTCATATTGCATGTTGATCTGTTCTGTTCAGCACTTCAAGCATCTGTCTGGTCTAACGCAGCTTATTTGGGGGCAAGACTTCTGAAACATGCTTTAGGCTCATAAGACTTGATTTGTGATTCTAGTTCAAGTGACTTCATTTTGAGGAAACACTAAACCTTTGGCAGCTCTTACTGGTTTTAGCTTTTGTCTTTACTGTTCGAAGTTCGCAGCATCTCTCTTTTCAAATCTCTTTTCAGTGCAGCAATGGGTTTTTGATCTCTGTGTTGATAAGCACAAGCAGGGGCACAGCAAAGGTACTTTTTCAGTCTAAATGCTACCATTTAGTCATGATAACCTGCACAGCGAGCTGGAGGGTTTGCAGGAAAACCATGATACTGTCCTGTCATTCAGAGAAACTTCCTGCAGCAAGGAGCTCCTGTGACTTAAATACAATCACTTGCTCACAACTGTTGCAAAACTGGGTTCTTGGGACATGGAGCTGCCCCTAACCAGCTCCTTTTCCAAACGATCAATCCCTTGCATGTTGAATTCTTGAAACCTGGAGCAGCCTTTTTCCACATCCAATGTTTTTTAAAAGCAATGATAGCTGAGATCCTGGGAAAACACATGTAAATGCAAAGACTCTCTTTCCCCCTGCACATAGGGCATCTCCCTCCTCCTCTCCTCGAGGAGTACCCAGTGCAGTGGCTATGGGAGAACTATGTAGTGACCAGCTCTTCCCCTGACTGATAGTGAGGACAGACTCTGTATGTGCAGGGCAGTGAGGCGTAGTGGTTTAAGGGAAGCTTGTGTTGATCAGCAAGGGAGGTGGATAGAGCAAGGACTGTTGTAATGGCCTTCACCTTTCTTGGTAGCTGCTGTATCACAGAACGAAGACATCAAATCCAGTTTACAGCGTGTTGCACAGGCTGAGATGGTTTCACAGCTACAGCTGTGCCCGAGGTGCACTGTTCTCTTAGGGTTTGTGCTGCCATAGTCCCGTTCCTCCCGCCTGGGCTCCTTGGCTGCTGTGCCTGCCTTCCCCAGCCAGCTCCGTTCCATGGGCAGGGCTGGCGGATCCCGGGCAGACAGTGGCTCCAGAGAGGGTTTTTCCATGAGGAAGCGGCTGCTGCAGTGGAGCGCGTCTGTCCTGTTGGTCGCTGAGAGCACATTTCCATGGCGAGGGCTGTCTGTCTGTGTCTGAAAGCAGCTAACGCTCGGTTCACGTTTCTCCCACTAGGTCATCCTCTTTCAGTACTGACTGCGCGAACTCTTCCTCATCTGCCCATGGCGCTACCAGCACCACTGCCCCTCAGCCGCTGAAACCCAGCGTCCAGCCCAAGGCAACTGTTATCAGTCATGCAGGAGAAACTCAGACCCAGCATTCTCGGTTCTTGCCATTGACCAGCACCTAACATCCACTATTATTTCTCCAGCGCCACTCTGTGTATGTGTGTGTTGAGTGCAGAGTTCCATTTTTCACTTGTTTCTTGTGGACTTGTAGAATGACCGTGAGTCTCTCCAAGGCAATGCCAGACACAGTCAGAAGTAGTGACTCTACTGTGCTTGCAACTCTTGCTCCCAAACCCATGGGAATACGAACAAACCAGAACATGCTGAGTCTCGGGGAGGGGGTCGATGATCACCTCTTGAACATAAAGGAAGGAGGAATTTACGTGGTTTGGCCTGATTCTCGTTTTGCACCAGTGAAGCGCTGTCGGTTCCCGGACGTCCCTCCCGATTTCCACTTGCATGTGTGAAATCTGAAATGAGCTTTTTGGCTCAGCAACGTGATATATACACAGATCTTCCTGAGCCAAACTCGCAGGTAGCTGAGACTCCACTAAGTGGAAAACGTTGATGCCAGCTGGAAATAGGCAGTTTTTTCTTCCTCCTCAAAGTGCTTTAGAATCACTTGTCCTTTGATCACTCTAAGGTAAGTAAATCTTAGTGGGTTTTCCCCCCCGTTTTATAGGAGGGGAAACCAAGGTGTCCTAAACTGGGAAGAACCGTGGGGGTTGGCGGCAGAGCCAGGTTGAACACCCTGAAGTTTTTGATTGCTGACTTGTTCTTAGAACACTGAGTATCTCTCTCCTTCTCCTCTCCGAGCCATCTGCCAAATCTTGTTTTTTTACTCTTGTTCTTCATTAACAAGCTACTTTAATTCCTTGAAGTCACGTTGGATCACAAATGGGTGGTTGCAGAATGTACCTACACAAACCCCTCAGACACTCCATACGCTGGGAGTGGGAAATCCTCAATGGAAGCTGGTTGTGAAGGCCTAGAAATGTTCTGCCCTGGTGCGGACCCAAGTTCAGTCGGTGGGAACCGTGGGGTAGAAATGGGAGATTGGTTAAAAGGCAAAACCCTCGGCAAAGCCAGCAGGAAGAGTCCTAGCTGAGTGGACATATTCCTTTGTCTGGCAGCATCGTTTCCATTCCCTCTGCCCTCCTGTTAATTCCCCATTGCTGGAATATGGCTGTTGCTGCTGCCAAGTCCTTGGAGGAAGGCGCAGCCCGGGAGGACTGCTGCTGGCGGGGCAGGCACCGCAGGGCTCGTCGCAACAGCAAAGGAAGTGCTCAGCAATCTGGCCCTAAATCAGGAAAAAAGCTCTGAAATGATCCTTCATTGATGGCAATAACAAAAAGTAAACACATAACCTTTGCCAGCCCCTCTCAGTTTGCACCAAGCCAAGAGCAGGTCTGTAACCAAACCTCTCTCCATGCAAGCACACGGGTCTGTCTTGCTGCTAAGTGTCTGTGAGGCTGCGTTTCCGAGAATGTGAAAGCCTACTATGAGCCACAGTTAGTGTGTAATATGATTGAGCTGTGCCTGAGGACCAGGAGACAGGAATCCACCCGTTGCATAACTTGTTTTTAGTTTGAACTCCAGATACGTGTCTTTTTCTCCGTGGATCAATCTCCATTGGGTAGGCAGCCATCCCAAAGGCTTGGCCAGCCCCTACTGCACACGTGGCAAGGCTGTGCCCGTGAGCTGTGTGTGACACCCGTGGCCAGACATGTGGCTCCAGCTATAATCAATCACAAGGTGCGCTCGCTGCTCTGACCTCATGGGGAACGGCATCAGGAGATGTGGATGTCTGATGAGGTGGCCACCAAGAGGTCTTTGAGAAGTAGCTGAGTACAAGCGTGCATTGATATTTGTTGGAGCAAATATATATATTATATATATATGTCTGTGTATGTATGTATGTATGCACACGCAGAGGTTTGTGTGTGTGTGTATATATATATATATATTAAAAAAATACAGAGACAGAGCGTGATGGTAATCCCTTGGACAGTAAGGCCAGTATTCTATCTGCAGCTAGCAGCTCTACCCCCAGTTTAAAATAACATTTGAAATTAAGTCCACAAAGTAGTATTGTCACCTCCTGACATGTGAATAACTATTTCCAGTGTGCAGCCAGTGACAAGGCACTCCCTTATGCCTGACCTGACTAGAACCGCAGCTACAGAGGTGTCCTCTCAAGGAGGGGACAGTCACCAGTTGTACCCATTGCAGTCATTGTTGTCCTTTTTGTAGCCCTGAGGGAAGGATGGGTGTCCCTTTGTTGGCTGTTGGTGGTGTTTGTTATTGCAAGGCTGGGGTGGATTGCTGTGTCTGCATGCAACAGCTTTAAGATGCTGATCGTGGTCGGCAGGGTCACTTCTCCATTTGTGCTCACACATCCTAAAGAGCGTTTCGTTGTGGAATTAGTGCCATAAACGAAGGGGTAGTTGTTTGGTTTAAGACCGAAGGAAAGACTCCAGGCTGTAACTTGACCTGACCACAGTACTTGAGATTTCCACAACTGTTTTGTTGAGGGAGAAAACGTTTTTCTGATGCATTTCTCGGTGGTGCAATGAAAGGGAAACTATTAAATATGTATCTGCTCAATATCAACTTCCTGATCAAAAAGAACTCCACTTGTGAAATGTACTGTATAGCAAAGTGTGTGTAACTGATACCACTGACAGGACTGGAGTGCAAAGCAGAGGGAGCATCGGTGCTTCTCTCCAGTGGAAGTGGACTCACCACCAGCCCGTGGGGTGAACTGCCCCGCACAGATTGTGCTCCGGGGCACTTCCCCCCATAAGTAGCCAGGAGCAGCTTTGCTAATTCAGAAATCAGGCTCTGTTTATATTAAGCCCAAATTGTTTGCAAAAACTGGAAGCAATTCAGCTTGTGCAGTTTTAGAGCTAATTATGTGTATGGAAAATACTCAACTGTACCAAGAATGTAAGAAATCCTCTAATTTATTCAATACATTGTTTCACAACATATTTCACACTGACTGTTGCCACTGAACCAAACCTTATCTCAGGTCATTTGCATTCATCTCCTGTCTGTAGATTAAAAAAGAAAAAAACCCCACAAATAAAATGAAACTCATTCTCATTTTCTTAGTTTATTCAGTAATTGCCAAATGGGTTCTGGTGCAGCGATGCAGACTCCACGGACTAAACTTTTCCAGTTGCTATTTCAAAACCTTTTGCAGAAACAAATCCAATGAAGATAGCCAGTGAAGGCTTTTCACTCGAGTTTAATGCGGTAACTAAATAAGGCGAGGGTCTGAAAGTGGAATGGTTTACAGTTTTATTACCAGTTCTTTTTGGTTTTGGCTCATGCTGGTTAACCCCAATACCCGAGCTAAAGGTGCTTACACAACTTCTTAGTAGGGATGGGGGAGTGGGAACCAATCCTGCACTACTATCAGTGATACATCTGTAGGATGCCAACTATAGACACGTCAGTTTTATCTCATCTGCCAATCATTTTGTTGTAGCATGTTGCAATTCTGCATGTCTTGGCTACAATGGTTAAACAAGAAATTTCTCTGAATGAGTGGACAGTCAAGACTAATATTTATTTTAAAAGAAGTAAAACTAAATTGTAAGCACTTTTTTGTAAAACCAATGTCTGTTTTGTTACATACTTTTAATGTTGTGCTTTGTAAATGTCTTATTTGTGTAATAAATAAAGTTAATGCAAGTAGAAGTGCTGGCACTTACATCCAGAAAATGATGTAATTCCATTTTATTTTTTTTTAAATACTTTCTGGCTTACTAATCAAGCAGCAACCCACCCAGTTTTCCTCTTTTATTATTTTGTTAAACTCTGGCTTCAGGAGAGTTCAACAAATGTTCGTAGTAAATGGATATAATTTCCTAGTTAGCAAACCAGTCATTAAAGAATACCTCTGGTGTACATTATTACAATGATCAATCAATATCCAAGTACTGAGCAAAAAGAGAGGAAAGGAATTCACCAGGACAGCTAACTAAAATCTGGGGAAATAATGTTGATTAAGATGGATTTGAATGACTTCAACACTGAATCCAGGCACACTCTTTAACAAATTGTTTTCAGGCTTAATAAGGTTTATATATACTACACTACACGCAGGAATATTAGTGTGAGTACAGTCTGCTTTTTTTCCATGGCTTTTTCTCAGCATGACTGATTAAATGATTATTTCCAGTTTTGTTTGTGCTGACAAAGATGACAGAAAGATTATATCCCTGTGGAGGGAAAGGGGGAGACAAATCCACGAGGACAAAGGAGATTTATTGTGAATCAGATTACCTGCTTGGGAATATTGTCAGCTAGCAAAAACTGTTTTCATGGTTTTGGTTGATGCTCACTTGTCTCATCCCAAGCTTGTCGGCAGGTCTGAATGATCCATTCATGCTCCTCATTATCTAAAATGGACATAAAGAGAATGTCAGATATCACCATGTCAGATCTGCTCTTTGCAGCAGTAGGGCCCAGCTCCAACAATTTTTTTCTTGTGAAATAAATCCATTTTTAGCCATTGGCATCTCTTAGAACCCATTGCTTTATTTCTCTAAAATATGGTGTGCTGTTGTGTTGGAATTTGTCAAGGCAGGAGGTACTGGATCTATGGCAATGACTCAGGTTGTTTGTCTGTTTGATATGAATAGCTTGGGTGAAACTGAGATTTACATGAGTAGATTGGATTTTGGGGTATTTTGGCTGGAGATGTGCAGGAGATGTGTTGAAACTATCAGAAATGAAGATACACATGCTTTAAACACCATGTGTGTGTTGCTTGTCAGTTTATGAAAGGTGATGGTGAAGTCAAACCTTTGGTTTTCCAGCTTTTCTTTCAATGCTGTTTTGACATGTACTTCATGACAGGTATCGATAAGCGGATACAGTGGCTGATAGATGTATGTTAGACCATCTTCTGTGTCCCTTGTTAGTATTCATGGCTGTCATGTTTATTGTCAGAGCATAATGACAGTGTGGGAAGAAAAAAAAAAAATCAAAGACAATGTAGACAAGAACAAGTGTCCAGCAAAGTCTGAACAGAAATTTTGTGTATGATTACAAGTAATAACTTGGTACATGTTAAGTTGTGGCTTTTAAATCCAGAGATTTAAGCATTCTGCAGCCTTTCATTTTGTGTCTGTATAGGAGAAAAGAGATTTGTGTAGCAGACCAGGAAAAACAAACTTCAAAAGCCTTCAAAAACCAAATCGAAGCATTACTTAAAACAACACCTGTATTCATTTTTACATAAATGAAATATGTTAGAGCTGCTTCTTGTGTGTACCACTGTCTTAACAAATTCATATCAACTGCTTGTGATGCATGTCCCTAACCTGCTTCCATCTAAATTTTAAGGGGTTTGTAGAAGCCCTTATTACCTGAAAGAACAGAATGATTGCAATAAGGATGGAGCCAAGGGGTCTGTAACTCTGGTACTGTGGGCATTGCTTGCCATAGTGCATAATCTCCTTTATTTACACAGTGCCCTGCACTGAGCACCCTGCTTAGGTAGGTCCAAAAAGATGGAGCAAGAAGCATGTTGCTTGTAAGGAGTCACATTTTCATGGAGATCTTTTGACTGTGCAGTTGTACCTTTATGTTAAAGCGACACAGGAGCATTTGAAATGCAAATGGTAGAAGGCTCTGGGAATGAAGTTGTGCTATTGAAGAAGTGAAAGTCCATAGAAGAGCATGTGATAAATTAGGTCTGATGCACAAATCCTTAAGCTTAGAGGTTAATCTCATTGGTTGCAGTGGGGTTTGAATCAAGTCGGCTTGGTCTTGGCTTTTTTGATTCCTTTTTGTTCTTCATGCTACCCTCCCCTTTCTCTCATTCCTGAGTTGAGTGCATGCCTTTGCTTCTCGTGAGGTGCTGCTCACAGGCAGCTCTCCTGGCATCCTGGTGAAAGCAGCCTGTGCCAAAGCGTTTATCCCTTGTCTGAATGGCAGCACTTCTCTGCCACCCTTGACAAGCAGTAAGCAGAAAGGCTGGTAAATCAGAGGAGGTTTTCCCTAAGTGCCTGCTCTCCAGTTTGCTCTTTGCATGCAGCCACTGGTTTCCAGACAAAGTGCTTGCTTGTGCCGACTGACCCTCTTCTCATTCCCCACTCAGGGGTCCTGGCTTGCAAGAGCTGGGTTTGGTGCTGAGCGCCCACCTTTTGAGCAGCACCCCAGAGACTGTGAACGGGTTGGAGAATGCACTTGTGCTGCCATTGTTCCAGCAGCTCAGCCTGTAGGCTTGCTTTAATGACTGAAAAATGGTCACCATTCAGATAGAATAGTCAAGTTCAGCTCTTTCTGTGTTTCACTGACATGATCTCTTTTTTTATTCCCTATTTCAAAGAATCAATGGGTCCATGACAAAATACCCTGTTAATGGCACATTTCTTATTTGGGTGAAATAAGAGAGGAAATAAATGCTGATAAATATGCTAAAAGAGAAATTAAAAGGACGAGCACTGAGGCTTAGAGACCACGCAATCGTTACAGAGGCAGAGATTCCACAGAGGGCTGCAGCGGGAATGCAAATGTGGTCCTTAAGCTTCCTTAAAACAACATCAAAGCCATAATCAATGTGCTGGCTTTTGTTCTATGCACTAGGTGTTCCAGCTTTGTAACAACGTGATCACATGAGCCTCGGCTATAACAGATACTGTCCAGCCTGGGAAGCACTGTGATTTTAGCTGGAATCACCTTAACTAAAAAAATAGTTTATCTGCAAGATAAAAAAATAGTTTATCTTGCATAGAATTGCATGAAAATGAAACTTTTGTCTATTTCTGCCATGGTGGAGGAATAAACAAAACTGACACAATGCCATAAATCACTACTTTCTACTTGTATTTGGGTACAGATATATGTGGCTCACCTGAGTACTAGAAATAATCAGCCCTGCCTTCCTAATGACAACTCTGCTTAGCTGAGTGAGCATCAAGGGTATAAGCACTAAGAAAGGTAGGTGCTAACTTGGCTTCATATCCCTGGTTTGCCCAGAGTGTTCCCTCCTGCACTTTCATGGTCTCCTAGGCAGGTTGCTCTAAGGATTTTAGCCTCCCCAGACACATCCCAAAACATCGTGGTTCATGCAGTGATCTGATCCCATGCAAATTAAATCCATGTTCATAAGCACTGCTTAACTTGCATGTGGCGTAATCAGATGCAAGAACTGAATGAGCTGTATGAATATCAACTTTGTATGAAAAGGGAAAATAGATGCAATGAGTCAATATCCCCCAAAAAACCAACCTAGAGCAAATCCCTAGAGCTGCCATCCAACCTGGCATCCCGTGTGACTGGTCCTTGCTCTAGGTGAAGGGAAATCAAAGAATTGATCCAGCATAGCGAGAACCACAAACCCAGAGATGAGAGTGGCTCCAGGGCTGGCTATGTGAGAAGAGGCAGGGAAATATTAGAATGTAAAGAGTTAAGCTATGGTAAAACATACTTTTGCTACACTAAAGAAGACTGGTTGATAATTACTGTAGTTTTAGGGCTATTTGAATCAGTGCAGCTGCAACCTCTTCAGTAGTAACCCCTGAAACAAGACAAACTGGGTTTATTGTACTGAACAAGTCTTAAAGCTCCTCCCTGATTGTTAGTAATTGGCAGCAATGGACTTAACAGCCTCTTGACTACCCTTTTTACACTCTACCTGACTGTGCAGCTAACAATTTAAATCACAGATGCCGATCCTTCTTTGTGGCAGCTGCTTGTTAACAACATGTTCCTCTTTTTCTGTCACTGGCTGCTTCCATAACCCTGCAACACCAGGGTTAGATTGGAGAATCACATTTCATCAATATTTAAAATGGAATTAAACCTTGAAGTTTGATTAATGCTACCAGATAGCGAGTTGTAATTACTATTTTGCAAATTGCAATTGTTTGAATATGTTAATATGATTGTCTGAGCACATCTTCACCTTCACGAGTAATTTTCCCTTTAAAAAAGATTTGGGGAAAAAAAATAAAGAATACAAACTCTTTAATCAGTGGTAAATTATCCCCCTGTGCACAATTAGGTGCTATGGGGTACTTCATGTTGTGTGCTGAATTCTGTGTCAGTGTATTTATCTTTCAAAGTTTACCCATTTATAGAGATTTTCCTTGGTAGAATAAACACCCATGGAACAGACTTTGCTGAAACAGGACTAAACCATGGTGGTATTTGAAGGTAAAGAAGAGAAAGCTTTATCTGAAAATGTTATTGCAATCTGGTGTATCCCTGTTCAGTAAATGTTAAGTTATTTCTTCCAAAGTTAGTGAAATATTAATTATTATAATCACATATCATTGGAATCTTGAAAGAGAGATCTTGAGAGATCTGCACAGATGAGCTGTTGGAATATATGTGGGTATTGACTGGTTCTTCTGAACTGTTTTCTTGTGTCTCAGTCTAAACCAAGTCAGTTTTCTAGCACCCACAAAAATACACTTTGAATATTGTGGGTCCGATCCTCAGCCCAAACTGGGAGAGCTTCTCTTTTATTTCTGTGATTGATTCAGGCTGCTTTGAGCAGGGAGAGACATATGGAGCCAACCCTGGTAGCCACCTCCATGACTGACCCCCAGTCATCAGCCCACAGCAGATGACAGCCAGGGGTGCAAGTCCTGCTGACCTTCTGCTGGACACTGTCTATGCAGTCAGCAGGTCAGTGTGGCTGGAGTCTCTTCAGGCAAATAAGACCCAACGAAATCTGTTGGTCACACTGTGTCCCTGCCAGTAGCCCGCTTCAAAATCTTCTTACCAAATAATTGCTTTGCAAGTTCCTTCCTTGTTTTGGTTAGCTTTAGGGGAAACTCCAAATGCCAGCCCAGTCCAAACAGGTGTCTCTCAAACACTCTGTAATGGGTATTCCATAGTGAGCCCAAACTGCAGCCCACTTAAATCAGCGGATTTCTGCTCAGCGTCTCAACAAAATGAAACTACTTGTCTGGTTTTCAATGTTCAGTCTAAAAGTAGTGGCAGAAGAGACTTCCCCAACTGCACAATCCAGATTTATCTTTCAGATGGGATTAGAAACAGCTGAAAATCCAGGGTGGGCTCGCTTCAGGGTGCTTCCAAGGGATGGCTTGAAAATACACTGTAATTTAGGTGCATTTAATCTTCCTATATTGAATGCATATTGCAAAGTTCAGAATTACTTGCTTCTAGCTATTGCATTTCTGTGTTGCTTATGGAAACCTCAGCTGTGACAGACCCCTTAGGACTGCATGTTTAGGTGTCTGCCATGATGCATAGTGGAGACTATCAGCAAACAGCAGTATTGTCATATAGGCTTCTGGATTTGCCCTCTTAACTAGTTCTTTCCCAGGAAACCACCTAGAGGTGCATAGGAAGATGTGCTGCATTGAAATTGGAATACTTGGTGGCTTGCACAGAGAAAAAGCCTACATTGTTCACCTTAAAATCCTTGTCTGACTCTGTGCTAGGTCTTTGTACCCCACTTTGTAGCTGTATGTGCTCCTAGTGTCTTAAAGGCTTTGTCTACACTGAAGAGCTGATGCACGCCCTAATTCACTCCAAAATTCAGATCCTTGGATCCCTACTCTGCCCAAAGGCAAGTTGGGACCAGATGGAGTAGGCATCGTCCCTTCCTTCACCCTTGCTTTTGTTAAAGGCCATGTGAGCAAGAAGGGAAGTAGATGTGCCCTGGTATGTGCCTCCACTGGGACAATCAGAGGCTGGCAGCTCCGGCGTACCCTGAGGACACGGCTGTGTGGTAAGAGCAGCTTTCCATGACTATGGTTTGCAAGAGGGTGTGTTTACAATAGACAATCCTTGAACAAGAGCTGAGTTTCCTTTCTGTTTGCAGAGGGCCCAGTGCACGCAGACCATTGTAAACAACAATATCATTTAATTCTTTCGCATGCCTGACTCCTCCCATCACCCGCGGTGCAGTTTATCATGTTCTTCCACTACACAATTACAATCACATGTGATAGCATCTCAGCCATGGATTCTGCCTGGCACACCCCTTCCATTTCCACTGTCCCCTCCGGGTCCCTAGCACCACTTTCCTTACTGCACCTGACCCCACCAACATCAAGGCTGGCAAGAAAATGGAAAATGTGTTTTCAATTAACCTTTGCTTCCACCCACAAATTCGCACCCTTCCATTTACTTTTAATTACTGTGATTCCAAAATGGCCCCCAAATGAACTTTCCATCTCTTGTAAAACTTGTTTTCACATGAACTGTATAGCGCCTATAAGACTTGTGCATAACCTATTTAATGGATTCACAATAGGATGGCAAGCACGCAAACAAAGTTGTTATTCTTGGCATGCCACAATTTGGAACTGAAACTTTCTGAGTTTTCAAAGTGATATGTATTTTAAGACCAGGAAACCACAAGGAACAGTATATCTGCAAAAGCTATAGCTACTGAAACCACTGTAGTAACTTACATCATAATGCACCTATTAAAATTATCATTGTTGGCTATAGTCTTGGCCATAAATTGTATTGGTTCATAATCTATTTTACTGAATTGAGTGTATTTTATATTAAAACACGTAAGCCAAATGGTTACATGGATGAGAAATCCCCAACTCTGTCACCTGAGCAGACTTTGATTTGCAATGGTATTCAAAATGTGCCCGATCTTAACACATTCCTATATAAAAATATAAGAAAAGAGCATATGATGGGGAGGAGAATTGGTCCAACATTTTAAGAAGTGTTTAGGGAAGAGTAATGATAGACATGGAGCTCCTCGTAGGAGTCTGGGATCTTCCCTTTCTGTTAAGTAGGCACAATTTCCTTATGCCATCTTTCACTTCACTGACACATACTCATGCATTTGGCTTGCCCACTCAGCAGTCCTCAGTTTGATACTTTCTCATGTTCTGCCTCTTCTCCTCCTAAGATTTGCCTCTTGAACTGATTTAGTTGTTGAGCATTGGAGAAGATTTAGGTCCAAAGTGCTCACATCAGGATAAAAGCTGACTAAAATATAGGAAGAGATAGATGAGCAACACTTGGAGCTCCACGTGAAAGAGCTGTAATACAGTTTCTGACCTTCCTCTTAATGTCATATTTTTCAAATCTTCTATCATAGAAGTAGTGAGTATGGAAAGCAAGTGTCAGAAAACTGGAATTGTGGGAATGTGGGGAAAACCCTATGTCCTGGGACTAGACACAAGAGAAAAAAGAATATGGAAGATGGAGGAGACAAGAGCAAAAGGTGAATTTGTTTGCGCATGTGTAGAGCCTTGTGGGCAAACAAAACAAGCTGAGTGCCATGGCATAGAGAGAAAGTGTTTTTTGCAGTGGTATTTTGGAGGAATCTAAGAGGCCAGCAAGAGGAGTTAGCAGTAAAAAGGACCAGCACTCCTGCTGATGCAAGAAAAGCAAAGGACTACTCACATTCGTATGCTCTACTGTGTAAATGGAGAGTAGTATTGGCTTTCCATTTTACAAAACCCTGTATTGAGAAATAAGTTTGTCAGCCCAAGTAAAGAGGAAAAGATCAATGGATTGCAATAAACAGCATTTAACATAAAAATGAGTGAAATTTACAATTCGGTTAACTTGTGAAATGTTAAAAAAAAATCAGCAAACAATGGACACAATTTGTTTTGTTCAGAGCCCAGAGGTAGAGACCAAATCCTCTAAATTAATTTCTGCAAAAGCTGGTTTTTTTTTTCCAAACAGGTCTGGATCCTATTCGTTGTAGAATATACTGATTACCAACTATTTTTAAGAGCTTTACACAAACATTATTTCTTTTGTTGTGTGAAATGCAGAATCAGCCATCTGGCAAATGCCCCAGAGCTAAAATCTTTTACACGACATATAATTCAAAATGATTAAATATACAACAGAAAATAGCTATAGCATTGCACTTAAAATAGCATGAACTTTTACTGCCGATCAAAACTGATTTCTTTAGCTTAACAAGTATCCAAAGAACAATTATTTGAAGAGCTTTTAAGAGTTTCAATATGTAGGAACTAAGCCTCATCTAAATTCAGTATCTTAAGTCAAATAAAAAAGAAACAAATGTACAAAAGATTAAATGGTCCTGCGTTATAAGTAGACATTTAAATCTATGGGAAGCTAAATTCATTTGAACAAAAATACTATATTCCCTCTGTATGTGTATTGCTGGGGCTTTCCTCTCCATTGCTAAGGGTATCTGCCAAAACAACTCTCACATTCTTAGGCAATGACTAGGGACTAGCCTGGAATCAGACTGTTCATCCACTCCCTCCATCATCAGAATGGGCAATTTCAAAGAAGAACAGGGAATAAAGCTCCGTGCATGATCCCTGAGTGCAGTCAATCTTTTTTTCCTGCACCACAGTCGACTTTAAGTTAAACTTGCTGTCTTTTTTCCAGAAATACTCCAGGCCTGAAAAATTGCCAGCTCCTCATCCCACACCCAATTCTGCAGTAGTTTATGAGAAAGAGCACGCAAACATCTGCATGTGTTTGGGGTACATAAGGGTAGGTACAGAAATATTACCCTGCGTAATTATTGAGTGGTTATGGCTCTGTTTCTCAGCTACATTTTTCAGACAAGTCAAAGTCTACATCTCCCCAAAGCACTTGGTGCAAGTCAGATCTGAGTTGTGAGACAAAAAAAAGGGCTCAATGTAGGTTTTTCTCATGGATTTGCATACTTGGATAAACCTGAAATGGATGAATACATCGCCGCCAACTCTCAAGAACATTTTGCTTCTAAATTCTTTCAGACCAAGCATGAGAACCTTCATCCCAAGGTAACAATGTGAGGCAATTGTAAGTCTGTGATTGCTCAGGCTTCGAATTGAAATGGCTTTGCAACCTTGCCTGTGGAGTTGGGTCAGCCTCAACCAAGGAACCTCAGATGTTCTAATCCCAGACCTTTCTAAACTGTAATAAAATAATGTTCTTGAATCTTGACCTTTTCAGCTCATAATGATTCCCGAAGCAGCAGGATTTTTCCTGCTGCTTTTTACAAGACTTTCAGGCTTGAAGAAATCCTAAGCTGATTGCTGGCTCGTTTGGGATTGCAGCAACACCAAAACCTCTCCTCTGTGTAAGATACTTGTCCTGGTTCTCTGGGCCTAATCCTGCTCTTAGTAACATGCATGTTAATTCAGTTACCTGACTGAGCTTTTAGGGTAACAGCAGGCTTTGTGTCTTCCTGATCTTGATGTTATATGAAGAGATGCATATATTTCAGGAGGAAATACTGACTGAAGTATAGAAAGATTCCCTATGCACCGTACACACATTAATTAAACCTGAAGATGGAATATGAAAATAGTAGCCCAAATATTCTCCTATTAGAAAGAGCAAAAGCATATTTTATATTATTTAACTCATTCTTTTGAATGAGTTAACCACAGGAGAAACAAGGCAATTTTCATCAGAAGCATCTTTGCTTTTCATCAAAGGAGAGATGACCCAGGCAATCTCCTATAACCTTTTCCATCTCAGTATGACAAAATTTCTCTTTCTGATGGTATTTTCTCTTTGAAAGCTATGGGCTTCTCTGATGTTTGGAAGTCCTAAAACCTGAATGTCACAGATTTTCTTGTACCTCCCTGCTTTGCATTAAACATAACCTCATATATTTTCTACTTTCAGTGGAAAATTGGGACATCTTCCCATCTTTCTATTGACCAAACTCTGTTACAAAGGTGCCAGGAGTCCTATTTCTGGAAAAGAAATAAAGAAGTAATATTCCTAGTGAAACAGGAGTCTAGGCCCAGTATCTGTTCAAAATAAACAAGGTATCTCCTTACAAATGAGCATTCACATTCTTATTTATGTGTCCAATTTTGCGTACTCCGCAATACTGGAAGGAAAGAAAAGATGGAAGAACACATGGAGAATGGAGAGAAATTTGAGCATCCCTGAGGAAACAGAGGTTTAGGGACGGGGCAATAACTGCAAGATTGTGATGAGATTTTGGAAAACTTTGCTAGATAAAAACGTAGAACAAAACTGTTGCTGTCATTTCGTTCCCTGGGCCTGATTATGTTTTCATGATAGGCCTTTGCACTGCTTTAACTGCAAGAGCTCTTTCAGTAAATGAGTATCAGACCTCCATGCTAGTGAAACGCAAGGCTTGCCAAATTTATCGGGAGTCTCTGTGGCACTCTCCATCCACTCATCTTGACAAAGAAGTGGTGGAAGCAAACTCAGTAGTTTCAAATGGCGTCTGTTTTCTTCTCTTCTGGAATGGTACCTGGATGCTGCCAGTTTGGAGGCAAGTCAGTGCCAAGGCTCTACGTGGAGCTCTTCCTCGCCCTCCTTCACAAACAGCCAAGAAACAATCAGAAACCGCTTCATAATAGGGCCAGGGTGAAAGGTGAGAACTGGAGTAGTCTGAAAGCCTGCTGCCAGACCTGAGGAAGATAGTGTCATTTTGGTAAACCTGTCAAGCTGTTGTAAGAACTTCCTGAATGCTTCCTACCATCTGCTTTTGATGCTTTCAAGACTTGGCTGGAAGCCTGGAGGTTTTCCTGCTCCTTCCTGCCCAACCTATAATGGAGTAATTCTGGATCTGTTCCCTGTCATCCCAGCCTCTTCCTCAGTTTCTTCTGCTTACAGCTGGGGTTTTTTAACTATATTTTTTTCTCTTCACTGCAGTGGCCTTGTGCCCTGAATCATCTCTCCTGGGGCGGTCAGAGTTCCTCTGATGTTGAACAAGTGCCGGGTGTTTCAATTGTGTTCATGCTCTTGAGAGGAAGGGTCTGGCCTCCACGACACATTCCTTCTTCACACTCACATCAACACAAAGTTTAACTTTGTGTACAGGGCTCTCAATGGAACGGCCACACAAAGCACATCTCCAACGACTCCGTCAGACTGCACGCTGCGCCGCTGGGCTCAGTGAATATTGATGGATATAAATTGTAGGGTCTGAGATAAATGTCGTGAAGGACAATGAGTTCAAAGAACAGATTAAAAAACAATAAATTGAATTCCAAGGCGTTCCCTCCTGTACTAATCTGTGTAGGTTCCTGTGTTTTTGGAAAGCATGTTGCTTATCTTCCTCATCAGTAGGCCCACAGCATTCCAGTATTTTGGATCAATGCCATTTGTAATAATCTAGATCAGTTTTTATTCAACGTTTATAAACCAGGCCATGTATCACAGGGTATATTTTATAGCAGATGGTATCTTCAATTCATTTAACCCCCCCCCTTCACTTCCCTCCTCCAATATCACAGTGCATACTTATAAGAGCTCTTCAAAGTAGAGCTGAGCAGAATTCTCTTCAACAAATAGTAAATTTGCTGAAAAATGGCATTTCCAAGCAACAAAACTGTTAAACTGTGGCACAGTGAAAAATGAGATGTTTTGACTTCTAGAAAAAATGGGTCTTGCAATTTAAACATTTTTGGGGAAAAGAAGTGGGGTGAGGAGCTGTTTTCAGAAATAATTTCTATTAAAAAAGAAGGTGATGAACTCCAGGGTTAAATAGCCAGAACACAAATGTTTGTTTCAGGTCAAGTTACATTTTCTGAGTTATCCCAGTGTCAACTGTTTTGGGGTCTTCTGTGTGGTTTTAATTCGAAGAGATTCTCTTTTGGCTTGATGAGGACTAATTTTTCCCAAGGATTATTAATCTGGGGACTCTGTCCATGAGACCCAGTATTCGCCAGACTTTACTCAAAACACAGCTCTTCAAGGAAGTTTCCTTGGGAAAGCCCTTTGGGGCTATTTCACCATAGCCCTAAGGCTCATTTCAATAAAATGGGCTATTCTAACATGCAGAGATAACCACATGCTTAAGCACTTTGCTGGTTCACAACAGTTTATTAGCTTTCAGGATCAATGATGTACACCTTACAACCACTCCCTTACTTGAGATCGTAATGGAAGAGGTTGAAAATCTTCTGAGATTCACATACCAAACAGTCATAAAATATATTTATTCATATCTGCTTGGGAATACCTCATTGTAATTTTGCAAACCATGATTTATACAACTCTGGGGATGCACACGTAGCTGACAAAAGTAAATAGGTAAAAATATTTTAGTTCAGTGATAACAGAACCAAATCATGGACTTTTTTATGTTGTAGCTTAGCTTTACTCATGCATCCTAGAAGCCATGGCAAGGAAACTCATCTTAGTTTACCTTGCAAAAGACGTTAATCATACCTGCGTTTCTCAGAAACCTGAATTTGTAGTCGACAACAACTCTGGTTTCAGGATTATAGAATCCATCACCACAGTCGTAACAGCCTTTGGGGATTTCTGGGGGAGGATCCAGATTTGTAAGCTGAGAAATATCTGGAAAAAGTAAAAAGAAGAAGAAAGGGTTTGCTTTATTCTGCTTTTATTTTTCCCCTTCCTTTTTCATTTGTGCCTTTGGTCAAGATAACCAACACTGATCTCTGCGCCATTTGCTGTAACAATTATGCAGTCACCTTACAATAACCTTTAGAAAAAATTTTGCCAATTTTGCATAGGGAGAAAATAAAGATGGAAAACTGCATGCAGCAAAAGTGCGTGATAAAATGGTATCACTAAGCTAACAGCAACAGATATGACCCCAAACTCCAAACCGGGGCCAGGAGAGTTGTGCTGGCTGCAGAGAACTACATGTAATCACTAAAATATTCTATGTATAAGGAAGAGTATTTTATGCATTACGTTACAAATTTTACTCACTTGGTCCTTATAAATCTCTTCACCTTCTGACTACAGAAAGATAGTAATATTATGAGTGTCTTTGGCAAAAAATAGACTGTACAGAAATGCTGATTTTGGTATCTACTATACAGCTACGTGGGACAGATGCATTCAAGCTTTATTTGATGTCCTGGATGTGAACTAGGTGCTTTTGTTCAACTTGTCTGTATTGAAAACCCACTGCTAATACAGTGAAGGTGAAATGTATAAAGGGGTTAATAGATGTAGATAACAAAGGCCTGTCCTGTGGGTCATTGCTGCAGAGGAGACCACGCTGCGGGCGCAGTGCTGCATCCTGCACCGCATGGAAGGTTCTGGCAGCGTCATACAGTCGGGTCCTGAAATTAGCCAGAGCGTTTCTGCTCCATGTTACTCATGTAGCCGAATTAATCTTTCTTAAGCAAAGTTGTTAGTTTAATTCCTTCCAGACTCTTAGGATCGCAAACGCAACTCAGTACCTGGTTCTATGAGACCAGAGCAGATTTCTGTGTAAAATCTTCTGTCGTAGCCATCACAGTAATGCCATTTTTTATCTCTGTATTCGAGACCATCTGCAAAAGTGTATTTCCCCTGCAAAACACGTTCAAGCACTGAGTTAATAAACATGATGGATGGATGGAGCACAAACACCACCAGTCTTCCCGCTGCCAAAACTGTGCCTTAGCCGAGTGCACGGGTCAACGGGGGTTTATGGAGCGCTGGGGGCTGCCTCTGCCTGCCCACCAGCAGCCTCCCCTCGCACCTTTGAGTGCCAGAGGCCACCGAGGGGTGAAAAAAAAATCAACATGGTTCAGAAATCCGCTTATTTCACCCCAAAACCTCCCCCTGCCGCGGGGCCGCTCCCCATCAGTGCTCCCCCTCGGGATGGGCTGAGGTGCCCTCGGGGTACCTGCGTGGGCACCCCGCGGTGCCAGACCGCCCGGTACACGCCGCCGTTGGGGAACAGCAGCTCTCCCTCGCCGTCAAACATCCCGTCCTTGAGCGTCCCCCGGTACTCGGTGCCCGTGGGCAGCGTGTAGCTGCCCGGTCCCTCCATCCTGGAACACAGACGGTGGTTGCGGAGGCCGGGACGGGCAGCCCCGCTGCCCCGCTGCCCGCCGGCCCTACCTGCCGCGCACGGTGGCCCCGATGTACCACCCGTCACACACCTCCATGGCGGCCCGGCCCGGCCCGGCCCGGCCCCGCGGCGCGGTCACCACGGCAACGCCGCCGCCAACGGGGCTCCGCCCCCCCCGTAGCCTCCGCGCATGCGGTGCATGCGCAGTGGCGGCCGGGCGCTGAGGGGAGCTCAAGGAGAGCGGCGCCGCCGCCATGCCCGGCGTCCTGCGGGTGCCCTCGCTGGAGGAGCTCGATGTGCAGGAGGTGAGTGACCGGGGACCCGGCCCTGCTCTCCCCATCCCCAGTGCCGGGCAGCGCGGCGGGGTCGGCCGGCGCCCATTGCCGCTCTGCCCCGCCGTAGGTGAAAGTCAGCTCGGCCGTGCTGAAGGCCGCGGCCCACCACTACGGCTCGCAGTGCGACCGCCCCAACAAGGAGTTCATGCTGTGCCGCTGGGAGGAGAAGGACCCGCGGAAGTGCCTGCAGGAGGGGCGGGAGGTGAACCGCTGCGCGCTCGAGTTCTTCAGGTGAGCCAGCCCGGCCCGGCCTCCCCTCTGCCCCGAAGGTGAAGGCGTTTCGGGGGCTCCCCCGCTGTAGTGCGTCCTTGTCAGGCTTCGTTACTTGAGCAGCTGTTTAATGCCAAGTGCCATTCCCATCACAGCCTTTAAAGTCTCTGTTCTTGCCTTTCAAGCTCTAACTCTTGGGTAAATAAGCCCTATCTGTTTTATTTAGTTATACATTAATTTATCCTTTGACATTAAGCTCTGTGGCTTCAGTTCCAGAGTAAGGGGGCTAGGTTTCTGTTAGGTTAGCAGTGGAAGGTGGGGAGGTGACGGAAGTCTTGCTACACCTGCACCTTCCAGCTGTACTGTGACATCCAGGAAACTGACCAAAGCTTTGAGTTGTCTGCCTTCTGTTTCACAGGTGAACTACTGTGAGAGCTTGAGTGCATGCCCCATTTGCCTCTTCTGACCAAGCATGTAAATCTAAGGCTTGTGTCAGTATCACGTTCTTATGTTGCTAGTAAAAGGCCTGGTTGAATTAACTTAAAGTGTGTCCATTTCCAGTGTAGCAGCTGGTAATCAGAAATGCCTGTTCTAAGCATGTTTTTCTTGAGTTAAGACATCAAATTAATTTGGAAGCATTAGAGCATTGTATAATGTGCCCTTTATTTGGCAAGACAGGGATGTGATATGGAAAAGCTGCTTACATTTACTTAGCAAGAATAGTACTTTCCATTAGAATACAAGAATAACTAGTTAAATTATTGCTGTCTCCAGTTGTAGCTACAGTGACATGAATTTTACTGGTATTGGTATGAAGTTCTGTTTAATGATGCTTCGAATGCTGACTTCCCTGAAGAGTTTAAATGTTCCTGAGAACTTAAAAAAAAAAAGCCAAGTTGAGGTTTGAATGAGTAAGAGAAAAGCATTAAAACTCTAACATTTGCAGACTGTTTTCTTTCTCTGTGGTCTCTTGCAGGAAGATCAAGGCACACTGTGCAGAGCCATTTACTGAGTACTGGACGTGCATTGACTACACCAACCTGCAGGAGCTCCGGCGGTGCCGGAAGCAGCAGGCAGTGTTTGATGACTGTGTGCTGGAGAAGTTGGGCTGGGTGAGACCTGATCTGGGACAGCTCTCTAAGGTAACTTCACACCTTTTTGATAGCCAGGTTCTTCTCTCCATTCCTAGAGACACAGGTCTCCAGCTCTTCTCCCAGCCAAAAGGTGATTTCAGGAGCCTGACACTGGATTTAATAGAAGTGAAGACACTGTTGGCATTCTCCAGGATTGCTTTCCCAGAAGACTTGGACTTTACTTAGACAATGACAGTCTTGCTTTTTTCTTTTGCTGCCACAAAGACCTTTACTTCAGGAGTGAAGCTCACATGCATGTACAACTGCTCTGTAGTTATGAGTGAAATGCCCCTCACCTCCCTTTGTATAGAAGTAGTCTGGAGATAGGAGCTCTCATCAGATCAACAGTATGTCCTTAGTGGTGTTTGGTACTTCTTGGTAGTCCTTTCTTTAACTTCTGACTCGGTCCAGCTTTTCTAGTTAATGCCATGAGAAGCTGTATCATTTCTTCTTTGTTCTTTCCAGGTTACAAAAGTGAAGACAGACCGTCCTATGCCTGAGAATCCCTATCACTCTAGACCTAGACCAGAGCCAAATCCACCCATTGAAGGAGACCTGAAGCCCTCTCCGTTTGGCAGTCGGCTCTTTTTCTGGTCCTGGTAAAGTGGGCAGACTGTGCTGTAGCTAAAGTGCAAAGATGTATTGCTTGCAGATGTAAATTGTCCAGTGCACCTTGGGTATAACTTTAATGATTAAAGAACCCCAAACTGTTACATGGCTCAGTTGACTTCTTTAAACATACTCGCACATCACATCAACTAAAAAATGTATTCTCCTGTTCTGCACAGTGCTCTCTGCAGTTGTATAGCCCTTTGGAACCTCTTAGTAATGTTGATTGCTTGGTAGTGACTACCAGGCTTGTCTGAGATGTGTATAAATGTAGCCTGTCTTTGACTACTGCCTCAATCAAAAAACTGAGGCTTTACTTATTATTGAGAGCACTGCTACTTGGGTCAAGGAAGCTTTGAGAGCAAGCAAGGTGTTAATGTCTTTCCTCAGTCTCACAACTGATAATTACACATTCCTTTCCAAGGGACTCTGCCTGTGTAGGTTTAACCTAAAATCTGTCTTGGAACAAGGGTTTAGTTGAATCTGTGGCTTTTGCTATGTATGAAGTGAGTACTGTTTCTGACAAAGGTTCTTCTACTTACAGATACTCATTTCTCATGCAGTTAGTTTAGTGCCTTCATTTTATTGGGGAACAAGCTACTTAGAGAAATCACACTAAATTTTCAACACCTTCAAGTAAAAAATACCTCCTAAAGCATCTTCCTATCCCATGAAGGAGTGTAAGAAGGTGGCTTGTCTTCTGTCTCGAGGCCCTCACTTGAGGGGTGTGTGTCAGATCCTTCACTGGGATACTCTCTTTGATAGAGAAGTAAATCAGTTCTTTTCTAGATATTGTAGAAAATAGAAACCAAGAGTCACGTTTCATAGGAAGCAGATCTAGTCTTTTGTCCACTCTTACCCCATAGCAAGAGCCTGATTGCAAAGGTCAGAAGAAAGGAAATGAACTTGTTTTCACAAAGCCATGTGCAGTTTTGCAAGCACCATGGCAGACTTGTGTAGCCTGAACCACAACAAAGACTTGAATAGTGCTTTGCTCCTGGAGTAGCCTACTGTTACTAGGATCTGAAGACTTACCATGTCCTTGTTCGGGGGAGGATTAAACTGTAATGGGGCTGTAGCTGCAGCATATGTTTCTGATCCATGGAGCTGGAGGGAAAATTGTATAACATTTATCTAAAAATAGCTCATGCCCTATGTGGCTCATGGGTTCTTGCTGTTCTCTGCTTGGGTATGTTAAACCGAAGCTCAAAGCAGGTGCTATGGCATACATGTTTGCATTTTAATGTAGGTATCATGCTGTCTTTGCAGCTCTTCTAAACCTAGGAGATGGTGTGCACCTTTGCAGTTTGTCCTTGCAGATCACTGCCAGCATTCAGAGCAGCCACATCTTGCTGAGGAAAGATAACCCCTTTTCTGCAGAGATTGAAATTAGGACAAGCTTGAGGTCTAATTACATTCAGCTGAGTGAGTGAAATGAGGTTTGGTCGAGTAGAGGATAAATTGTTCTGGGATGTTAACACGTGTCACATCTGATCTTTTGTTGCTGACCCACTCCAATAGTTAGGCAACCTCGCAGAAAGACTTTTTAGATGTTACTTACCATGTTTTGCTAATAACTTACTATTGTCAGCATAACGTATGAAACACTGCACTGCTGAACATCTGCTTTTGAATAAACAGGCATGGGCATTCCAGTAGTCAGCCCCTAATCATAATTAAAGAGTATTTTCCCCATTAAATCGCTTCTGAAAAGAATGACATGCATAAATAGGGGGGCAATTTTTTACAAGAGCCTTTTACAAACCCCGCCCTTAAGTTGGCTAGTAATGTAAGCAAAAAAGCCCAAACCCCAGTGATTTATGCTGCAGCCTCAAAGGTTTAAGACTGTTCATCTGTTTCGTGACAGCTGAATCTACTGCCTCTTGGGTCAGAGGTGGTTGATCCAGTGACGATGCACTGACCACGTTTCAAAGTCAGAATTAACCATCTGCTTGCCTAGATTCCAGTTTCAAGCAGGGGTGGGCAGGTGGATGTACAAAAGAGAGCAGCAGAGGAGGACAATGAAGTGATAAAGTCAAGCAGAATTCAGCTGTGCTGGGAGCACTTCTTTCCTTAACCTCTCCAAGACAATCGCTTCTTGTCTTTATCTCATAGCTAAATCTCTGCAAGGAAGTGTTGCCAGAGGTTTGGGTTTGGGTGCTTTGGACAGTGCCTGTGTGCAGCCATTTCTGTTCAGAACCGTTGTGTGGCTTTACTCAAATGTAGATGCCCCCTTTGGAGCTGTAATGTTTTCTTGGAAACTTCAGAACAAGTGAATGTCAAGATTGAGTAAAAACCATAAAAGTGGTTTTGAGGAATGTATCTTGACATGTTTTTGGCAGATGGAGAGCAGATGCGTACAGATTCAACGCAGATATTTTGCTGGCAAGGGGAGAAGTGTTATTTGTTATGTTGTAGGCTCTTCCCTCTGCCAGAGCTTCTAATCACGTGTCAAATTAACAAAACGTTGAGCCAGTGTCGTCGTAGCCTGAAACACCTTGGCTTAGATGAGGCAGAACCTGCTCTGCTCTTTCGGATTGTGGATGGGAAGAGTAAAATCCTGGTGTCATTTCTAACCTCTGAGGTAGCAGCATGCATTTCTGGTGCAGCAAAGTTGTGTGGCTCTAGCACAGCAGCGTTCTTCTCAAGAGAAAGTGCCCCTCCAAGCCATCTGGCAGTTTGACATGCCCTGATCTCAAATGGTCCTGCTTAGCTCCCAAGGCAGAAGGGCTGGAGAGGGTGTATTGTTAGCCAAAAAGGCCAGGAGTCCAACAGCAGCTCCCCCTCTACTTGTAGCCACCAAATCTGGCTTTATTATGATTTTATTACTGGTTTTATTTAGCTCTCTGAGTTTCATAATTCTGTTGCATGTCATATTATGCTATTATCATCCCTAGGATGACTTCTAGGAGTCAGTTCAGGTGGAATGAGCCTTTTCAGCATTTGGAAGCTGAGACTGGCTCAGCAAA